ATTTTTGCAGCTGAAATTCTGCGGTAGAGCAGCCTGTTCAGATCAGGTACTTCCGTTGACGAAAATTTTTGCAAAGTGCGACCCCTCCCCGCCCCCCAAAGAAAGTTTCCCTCTGGGTACGACTTCTGTCCTTCATCCCCCGTCTTATTTATTCTACAACCTTTCCAGGTTTTCCCAGGAAAAATTGCTATCGAGCGTGTGTATGTGTGTGCGGGGAGGGGGGGGGAAGACGGAAACAATAAAAATCGAGGAAAACCACTGATTGAAAACATTTTAATCGTCTCTTCCCTACGGTGACCAAAAAGGACATCTTCGCTGGGGATCTGAACGTACGACATGCCTTGACCCGGAAGGCACCACATGGCTTGGCCTCAAATCGTCAAATGCGTTTTCAGGCCCATATTCCTTTCGGAAACGCACCAACATCATTTTCGTTCCTAATCTCTTCATATTTGATAGTGTCGTTTACTTCTTTATCTTTGAAATATTAGGTGCTGTTCGATTTATTGAGTCATTTTTTTGTTCCCATCGACCTTTGTCGATGCCTCCTTCAGAGAGCAGCGAAACTGGCGACAGTGCAAGGCTGCTCCTCCTCCCACATGTCAAACAGGGCGAAATCTATTCATCAAGGTCTGCGGCGCACTCTAGAGTGTATCTCAATAAATAATTAATTTTGGAGCGATCAACATCTCATCAGTGTCAGTAAGCCTTCACGAGCGTTCTAATCAGTGAATTCACCTGATACGGACGACGACATTGCTGCTCGGCAGTGCAGAGCTGCGGCTCACTGTCATCAGAGCTGGATCGTAGCAGAATAGTCATATTGGCAGGACAGCTTGCTGCGAAATCATAAGCTTCCAAGACTGTATAAGAGCTTGGGCTACTCACCATCGCTGGAATAACCAGTTGAATTTCATTGAACTCCAAGAATATTTTGACCTCACCTGTCGTGTCGAAGTCCGAACTTGATCCTTTTAGATCGTTTGAAAAAGGGCAGCACAAACCGTGCCGCTCGGAGTCCCGTCGGATGCAGCGATGAGACGGAGGGCACGGGATCTCAGCGGAACAGAAGATCCTTCGGCTGTCTGAATTAGTTCGAAATGAATTAATGTGGTATAAGAGGGCGAGAAGGGTTATCAGCTCGCTTGATGCCTTCACGTTGCCCTAGAAAGTCCGCGTCGATCCTACGGTCAGATACATTCAACTGCTTTCTCACTCATGTCTTTTGCTTATCGTCGTAGAAGACACACATTAATGAGGAAGACAAAATGCTTGACTGTCTCCACCCAAACGACCAGCATGGGCTGTGCCTTCAGCATGGCTCTGCCTTCAAGTGTGGACTTGCTAAGAAATTATGCTAAGAGTCAGATCATCTATCACTACTTTCACAACTTGTGAAGCACACAAATGAATCGAGTCTGGTCATACGTTCTTGACAACATACAAATCTGAAAAAGATGTTATCAAACGAAGTAACCCTCATTCTTAAATGCGTATTTATAAATATGAAAACACTAAAATACCTTTTTTGCTTTTCGGAAAATGTACAAAAAGAATTAGTTGAGGCACAGGATTGCGGATTGAGCGGTGAACATTGGACACCTGCCGAGTTCTTTTCAGGTTCATGTGTGGGTGGGCAATCCGATGTTTCCACGAAATCTTCAGTAGTATCGTGTGAGTGTCGAATATCCTTGTAGACAGCTTTGCAACAAATCCCAGACTGGAAATTGCTGGATTTGTGGCATTTCGCTCTGTTCGGACAGTGTTTGTCGTGGTTACATCCGAAAGGATCACCGGTGCGAAGGCGAATTAGTCGCGATCCAAACGGACAAGTATCTGAAAATCAGCTAATCAGAACGATGCGTGAAGCGCAACCAAGGTGCATGGATGAGGGTTTTCAGACGAAACACACGTCACCATCATAGGTGTCCTGATTTTCTGTGGTGCTTTAGTTCCCAGGTGCGGCGAGCGCGACGAAGGAGGGGTGGGGAGTGCGAAGATGTACGTTGCATTCGGACTGTGACCCAGTCTACTCTTTCGACTCTTTCTGCATTTCTCAGCTCGGCTAGTTCACTCGTGCTGCGTCTATCCAATCCACTAGCTAAGAAATGCTCTGCTAGGACACTAGGAAGTAGCGCATCAGACCCGTCTTGATTTAGGTAGCTCTTATTTACGAAAAATTAACCATAAGATGGCGACTAGGCGTCAGTCCTTAAATTTAGTGAACCGACCACGAGATTGACCTGCGGTGGAACGCGACTGGGTGAGATCAGCCTTGAAGGCGTCAGGGTTATAAAGCAGACCACCTCCCCTCCCCCTTTAAATCAATGAAGGCAGCGAATGCCATGGTGTGCTGAAAAGCTTGAGGATCCTCGACAAGAGAAAAGCCTACGACTACGTAGTCCTCGACCATGAGGAAAAGTAAAGAAAGGACGTCACCAGGAGGATCTCTCGGAAATCAAAGTCATTGTAGATTTCCTGTATGAGACAAAGCGTCAAATCCTCCCAGAGACAGCAGACTTTGAGCTGACGATGTTTCATGAGGTCAATAAGCAGGCAACAGAGGATGAACACAACACACATTTCAGCTCCATGAGGCTGGTCCTCCTCTATTTTTAAAAATGAGACTTCTCTAAGGTTACAGGAATGGTGATTTGCTTTGTGCATAGGAAAAAAAAACACTTGCATCTTCTCGAGCACTAACTCTAACAATGAGTGGCATTCCTGGCGTCACCTTTGTTGATACAAATAATCTTCAAAGACAAACAGTACACTCATTTTGTGAGTCCCGTCCCAGTCGTCATGGGAAATGGGGCAGCCTGCAGTAACGCGCCGTTTTTTTTCCGGTCAAAACTGCACGGGAACAGGACTGAAGGGTAGTGATACTAGTATAATTGCTGTATCTATACTCTGCTCGTGTTGCCGCACACCAGCCTGATGACTAGCCTCGTGCAGAGCTTTAGCCAAATGAGCTACACTTGTCTGTGCCCACAGAGACCTTGGCGTGTAAGCATAGCACCTTAAAGATAGCATGGCTATCATTATGCTTGCCTTTTTTAACTTCGGATGCATTTTGCTCCTGAGGTGGGCTTTGAGCTAGCATAGCAATCATTTCAATCTTGTTTGGAATCTAGACCCGAATCTAGACCCCTACTGTCCACTCGTTTTTACATACACTTCGATAATGAAGATAATACACATTTCAGACCTCATGCTCTGCTCAGCTAACTCAAAAATGTGCTCGAATGCGTCCAAACCTTTGTCTTTCTCTTTTCCGCAGCAATAATGGCGTCTCTTTGCTGTGTGCGAGAGGCAGTGGAATCCAACGGGACACATAGTCTGACGGTTGCCGCGACATGTCATCGGTTGGAGTGAACGATGACTGATAAAAGGCAGAAAACCGTTCGGGCACACTTCTGGAAACATAGTTGAGAAGGTGCAAACACCCAACAAGCCTGATTGGATTCCTACAGAGGGATTAAATTCTGCTTTACCGCGATGTGGCGTCCACAGCAAACCATTCTTGATGTGTTCCATGAGTCGGGAACGCATGAGTATCCTAAGGGACATGGTGTTTTGGAACAGTCATGAGCTGATCCAGTGGACGGAGAAATGTATACGGATTCGGAAACAGCACACGCTGAAATATTTTGTCCCAGAATGGGGACTGTTCTATGCTAGTTCGCACTGAAGCAAAAGTTGTAGCTTTATCCACGAACCGTCAAACGGTTGGCATTGTGCTACTCGAGTATGAAAAGGTACTGATCGTTGCTGACAGTTTATCTGGACGGTAAACAGATGTCCTGAGACGATAAACAGATGTCCTGCAAACAATGTCAGATAAGGTGGGTAGGTTGTGAAGGGATTCTCAACTGTATTCGTTTTCATAATGTCGCACAGGTCTCACAACGACAACATTTATACTCGTTATCCCTGAGACGAGGTAAGCGTGACTGCGCTCATCATTCAACCATATCGCACGCTAGGTCATTTTAAAGAACACATAGTACGCTCACACAACATTAAGGGTGTATGTGACTAGCAGCCCCCAGCTGTCGAAGCATAGCGGTTTCCCCGTTCAAACATGCGCAGGAATGGAGATACAGGACCGTGAAACACGCTAGTTCGTCCATGCTCCGCCCAGTGCCTTTTTGCGGCGCAGATTCCCGTCCTTCATAACATCCGTCGTAAGCGCGCGTGTCGCGTGCGGCTCCTTGGCACTTTGCCAAGTCCTTTAATTGCGCTTTCAAATACAAGTAAAACGCAATTTCCTGATGCGGATAACATTGGAGGTGCTGCAAAATAAGAACAGAAGATGATGACGAGGGTCAGAACTTAAAAGCAACTGTGCCACTTCTGCAACATCCCTCGGAGGCCGCGTATGTCCACGAAACATGAAAATAAAACGGCATACTCGTTAGTTTAATACAAGCAAAACGCAATTTCCTGATGCGAATAAAATTTGAGGTGTTGCTCATGCCAAGGAGCCGCACGCGACACGCGCGCTTACGACGGATGTTATGAAGGACGGGAATCTGCGCCGCAAAAGGTGTAAGGCGGAGCATGGAGGAATTAGCGTGTTTCACGGTCCTGTATCTCCATTCCTGGGCATGTTTGGGCGGGACCACGACACATCGACAGCTGGGGGGCTGATAGTCTCATACACCTCAATTGTGTTTGAGCGTACAGTGTCTTTGAGACAACCGCCATGTGGTCTCGCGTTAGGGAAAGACACGATTACGATCCCACCAGAATCTAAACATCCCATCAAGAGCGTAACTTTCAAATTAACTACGTAGACACGCTACCGCATCTAAGGGTTCTGAAGTATTTTGAAGTATACTCAAAAAAGACCATCTGGTCCATTCCAATGATATTGTGGTCAAGTTCTTTCTATGTAGACTACGTATTCGTTTCACGTACTAGAGACAAAGGACACGCAACAGGTCCGTAACCCCACCCACCTTAACAGTAACGCCCGCGCCCGTACTCAACTGTTGCGATTCACATACAGCATTGTAGAATAAACCCCTTTGTCCTTTCCACAGATGAATTCCTACCAATCACCACCACTTTTGCCTTGCACATGAGGTTTTAGAAACACATTTCACAGCAAGTCGTCAAAAACTTTTTCAGCTATGTAACAATATTGAATAGCAGAACCGTATGCATTAGTTGACTCGTCCATAAAAAAATCAGGCCACACAGTTGGAAAGGACCAAAATAAGACCTTTGCTTTTCCAAGGTTAAGGGAAAGAATCGCTGGAATGCCTGGAGAGCCCACATAAGAGAAGCAGGAGAGCATGCAAACGAGCAAGAAGGCAGATACCGACACGGGAGAAGACACTGACGTTTCGGCGTAATCACTTGCATCTGAAAGATGCAGAGTAGCACTTTTCTCATCGCACTCCTATCCTGCAAGTTCTTCCTCAATTTCGAAAATAAGGGAGAGATTTAAGTGAAAAATGATCTTTGAGCAGCGTCAGAGAGAGAATTTACGGCAGCATTCTCTAGTCCGGTCAAAGGAGCAGCTCACGCTGGATCTTTCTTTGATGTCGTCGCAATCGGTATGGGCGGTGTCAAGGGGGCGCAATGAGGCAGCCTTCGGTAGCCTTTCTTTACCAATAGTGATCGACTCAGAAGGGAAACAACTCGAGGTGAAAAGGCCGCGGATAAGCCCACTCCATCCCTCTTGCTACCGACGATATCGACTGTATGGGAGGAGTCAGTTCTACAGATCTACCCTTTTATTGGTGCGCCATGCTGTCTTAGAGGACACATGCCAATGAAAAAGTTGTAACAGTGGGTCCGACTCCACCTTCACAATCACCATTGACTGAGATTCTATTTTATTGGAAAATGAGAGAAACGATTTACCGGAATGATTACCGTTCTGTACTTGCGCGGCTTTACCTCATCTTTTAAAAAATTGACTAATCAAATAATGTAGGGGCTGTATTGATCCATAGCTTAATTGTGTCGTCGACGCTTCCTTTGGTATCTAATTTTAATTGTGAGAGGGGATAGGTTGCAATTTACCTCAGAACACTTTGCCCACAGTCGTCTCCAATGTCAGGTTGCTGCTTGCAGATATGTTGCTGTGACGGACAACAGTAACGCACTTCGCCTCCTGTTTGCAATACCTGGATCGAAGGAAACCATTATCAATGGGACGCCTGGAGAACGATTGAAAAATTTTCATCAAATCAGCAAAAATACTCTAGTGAAACTGAACCGATTTCAAGCATTCATGTTCGGAAGGGCACTGAGCGCTAGACTTGACACTCGGCGATTAGAATGGTCGATAAAACGCTCCGCCACTTGGACACAAGTTAGGCTCTAAAAAAAACAAGCGTTGGTTCTACGCAGGACAGAAAGTCTTGCTACAAATAGCTACAAGATACCTGGCCTAGAGCAATTACTCCATGCACATTTGCTGTACAGGGAAGTTGTTCGCGTTTCCACCGCAGCCACGAAAGAGAAACGAACGGCAGGTGTTGCTGGCATCGTCGAAAAACCTTAACAGCACATTTTTTTTCTTATGAACTTCCTTCCTTAGGGAACACTCTCACCATCGTAGCGATGTTGGCTGGTCGCATGATTTGCCCTCGTCAGCTCGCTGCGTGCATATGCTTTCTGAAACAGTGTTGTAATAAACCCTGAAGTTTTCTAGATTCGGTAGGCTCTAGAAGAGCTGCAGCGGATGGAGGACAGTCCCGTTGACTTAGTAATTGCAATGTTTTGAATCCACTGGTGTTCTAAAAATGTTAAAGACAAACTGTATGCTCTCGGTTCCTGCCATGTGCAAGGTGAATGAGTCTGGGCTGTATTAGCGCTCAAAAATGAATGGGAACGGAGCAGGCCACTCCGGACTCCGCGCGCGCCATTCTCAAAGCGCAGCACGTGCGTCGATACCAAAATTGCGCAGCGAACATGCACTCAAAAGTGGAGGTTGAAAGGGCGCAGATAAGTAGCCCATTTGGCTATGGATAAAAGGGTGGCTGATTTTGTGGCTGGCCGTGCGGCAGCATAAGCAGAGCATGGAGACGGCACCCTGGTATCACTGCCCCGCAGGCTGGCTCCTGTGCACTTTGAGCGGAGAAACAGGCACAGAAACAACAACAGAGCTCACCAGGTATCAAGAAATTTTGCCTCAGTTTATTTCAGTTCACCTCCAGGAAGCGTTTCAATACTGTAAACGAGTGCAAGTAGAAAGGATACTATGCGGAGGTTACGGGGCTGTTGTCAACCAGACGTGCTCTCGCTGCGAGGGTCCAGGGTTATTTTCACGAGGCATCTACCAGTCCAGTAGTTGAAGGGAGAAGGTAAAGGAGGAGGGATCAGAGAAG